ATTTATTAATTGGATAAGACTCTTAAATTAAAATAACTCAAATTAAAATGGTTTAAATTAAAGTATGTTGACTTAAATATTTTAATAGATTTTATAAATGAAATTTACCAATAAGACCATAAACAGAATATACCAACCATCCAAATGTAGCTAGTTAAAAAAGTGAAAAAAAACCGTGGAATGTTCATACAACAACGTTACAGCGATTTAATTTGTAATTAATATGCATCTAACTTGCAATAGCAACTTGTTTTACGTTAAAAAATTTATGTTAAAGATTAAATGAATTAACAATTAACAAAAAACAACAATGTTCGATTCAAGAATCAAAAAGAAACTTTGCAATATGTGTACAAACATATGTTTACTTCTTGTACGTATCAAATAGGTTAAAACGTAATATTTACATGAGTATGTAGATATTTACTGTATCTATTCAATAGTTGATTGCATCACGAACATCATGTGCATTTCTTAAATTAAGGTTGCCATGAAATATAAAATATACATTTTTATAGAGTTTCATAAGGTGGATCATAAAAACGATTGTTTCATAAAAAGAATTATTATTATTTCTGACTTTTATAGTGAAATGAAAACTTTTGAAGTTTTAAGATATGCTATGCAATCGTCATTAAATTTTGTAGTCATTAAATTTGACACTATTTCTTTACTAGGACAATGACTAAATGACTAATTAAAAAATCTTTGTTTAATTTTAAAATTTAGAATTCTTATCGCGAATGGTGTTTATTAGAATAAATCATAGCACTTATTTCTTTACGAAAAAAAATTGGTCTAACCATTAATTACATGCACTTAAGTCTATTAAAGACAATTTTATTTCACAAGAATTTTTGAAATCGACATTGACCTGAGATAATAAAATTTAAAAAATATTTAGCAACTGTAGGATTAAAAAGTTCTGTATATACGAAAGATTAGCATTTTAATTCTATATGATCTAACAAGTTACTAGTTATAACGTCGAATTTTTTTTAAATAGATATATTCTATGTTATAGTTAAGAAAAATAACTTTTTATAATGTATTGTATTGTATTATTTACATTAAAATTTTTAATAACAAAATTGGACTATTTGGACTATCATTATTAAAAAAAAATAAACTACAATTAAACATGCACTAAGTAGGTATATGAGTTCTTATATGTATCGTATCATATAAAAAAATTTAGAAAAGAATAAAAAACCTTATTTAATGTGAAATAGGTAGAAAGATAGAAAGTAGAACAAGGAATAGAAGAAAAACTTAAACAAAAGAACAGCACAGTCCGCATATAGAGGTAGGTCATGGTTAAAGAATCAATTCTTTAAAAAATAATTTTTGCGATAAAGTAAACTTAAATGACAAAACTTTTATTTATAACATATTATTTAGATATATTTTACATGTATTTTATAAATACACTATACTCTTCTCGGTGTTTTTCTTCGAAACAGTTTAATAACACTGTGCAACTAAACTGAAGTCTTTCCTTTTTTTTTGGTTTTTCAAATTCCAAAATTTACCTTTAAAGAGTTAAAAAAAATTGTTTTTAATTGATCGAATTTCATGTTTTCGGTAAATTTATTACAAATAAATAGATAATCATTTTTAACATAGTCTTTCTTCCCCATAATTTCCTTTTCCTCTCTAAAAGGGAGTTTTCTAAAAACCAACGCTTAAAAAAACTCGTTTTGAGAAATATTAGAAAAAATGTTTTTTAACAAGAAATCCCCTCATTTGAGAGAAGATATCTGAGACAAAAATGTTTATTTCTATATAGCAAGTTGGCTAAAGATACGAAAATTAAAAATAAAAAAAAATGTTTATTAATCCTTTAAATGCTTAATTTTTGCACTTAAACCCGCTATTGCTATATGTCAAGCAGATTTGGCATCTGAAACATAAAAAACGGATTGCAGATTTGAACTCAGCAGTCCCAAATTAACCTAACATTCAATAAAAATGTCAATCAACAATGATTTTGATATTTGATAATTATATGGTTTTAATTATAAAAATTTTAATGGAGATTCCGATTTATCGGGCAATTTTTCGTATTTAACAACATATTTTTTAATTTTTGTTAAATTTCAAGCCGATATTATAGCTTAATGCTCAAGATATCGATAACTACAGCTGAGTATTTTCCATTGATTTCATTGATATATTAAAATTTTACATAAGATTATATTACACGACAATCACAAACAACTGGACATAACATATTGCGAAATTAAGGTTTTATATATATCACTATATATTTTATCGACATACTATATAGTGTAGCGCATAAACTTGCTCAGAGTAATATAATTTATTAAAATCCCGAATTTGAGAAATCACGGCACCTGGAAAGTCGGAGTTGTATATATTTTGTTTTAGAATACTACGATTACTACTTTATATTTAATAATAGTATAATTATTAATATTCATAAAAAGTATTGTTCAGTAATCATTTAACAAGCTAACAAAATGGCAACACTATCATGAGTACAGAACTAAGCCAGTATGTTATGATATCGAATCTTTAAGTTAGTCATAAGTTGTTATATGCCTTATAAGCATTTCATCTTAAGTAGATAATATTCAACCAGCTAATATAGCTGACGAATTAAAAGCCGCAATTATTAAATATTCAGACATCTATACACACTGAAGTAGTTAGCTTTAAGATACTGAAATAATGTATTGATAGCACTTTAATTAAATATTAAAAAATGCCTAATATGATCTAAGACATTATTTACTTGTGATATTTAGGAATATCACAAGTACTTTTGAATTAAAATTAAACTTTTTTGCTGCGATATGGCAACCATTAAGTAGACACACGCCAACTGCGACTTGTTTATGTTAGATAGTTTCTCGCCTGCATGTCTATGCAGTTAACAAAAATAACAACTTCAACATTGACACTGCCCATTCATTATTCATTTTCAATATTTATGAATATGAAATTGCAAAAAAAAAAAAAAATTAAATGAAGGTTGGCCAAGAAACTTAAACACCTGTAAATTGTTTAAAATATCTTTCTCCTTAACTGCCTAAAAAAATAGTATTTTATTTAGGTTAAAAAAAAAATTAGGTTAAAATACTTATAAGGTGATTTCAAACAAAATAACAGTAAAAAGAAATATTAACCCAATATTTTTAAAATATTAATAAAATTAAAAAATTTAAGAAGTACAAAAATTATTTTAATTTAACAATGTTTAACTGTTTATACCAATTCTTTAAAAAATTCGTGAGTTTGAATAGAAAACAATAACAAATAACTTATAATATTTGTACAATGAAGGTGGTTAAGACATAAACTAGGGGCATTACTTAACTTTAGTAAAAGGCTAGAGCATAATTTATAAATCCTTTGCACGAAATCACAATAAAGATAGAAACAACATACGTGTTAAAGTCTATTGAAAGTTAACAAATATTTAAATAAATGATTTTAAACTAATAAATACAAACCCAATATATCTGAGTTAGTCCCTGATTAGATATTAGTTGAAAATATCTAACTATCTGCTGTAAGGAGTATATCTACATTATTTATTACTAACATATAGAACTAAAATAGAATTAAAAAACTAAAATATATTCTTTAATTATTATTAAAGAATATATTTTAGTTCTACTTTCACTGTGGCAGCGGTAGCGCATCTATGACAAACGTGACGTCTATGACAGACGTCTAAAAATTTGTATGGGATACACGGCACAAGCGGTTATCTGACAGGATTGAAAAAAAATACAGAATCTTTTTTTTGCTTTTTAAAACAATTTTTATTATAACCAAGATAAGGATACTCCAAAAGTTCCTTGCGCACTTCTACCACCGCTACTACCACTAATAAATATCTTGC